CTGGGAAATCCTGGGAAAAAAAACTGGGAAAAATCCCGGGAAATCCTGGGGAATCCTGGGGAAATCCTGGGAAAAATCCTGGGAAAATCCTGGGGTAAAGGCAGAGCCTCCCTGCCCAGAGCCCCGCACACACAGGTAGGAAAAACTGGGAAAAAACTGGGAAATCCTGGGAAAAAAAACTGGGAAAAATCCCGGGAAATCCTGGGGAATCCTGGGGAAATCCTGGGAAAAATCCTGGGGAAATCCTGGGGTAAAGGCAGAGCCTCCCTGCCCGGAGCCCCGCACACACAGGTGGGAAAAACTGGGAAAAACTGGGAAAAACTGGGAAAAACTGGGAAAATCCTGGGGAATCCTGGGAAATCCTGGGAAAAATCCCGGGAAATCCTGGGAAAAATCCTGGGAAAAATCCCTGGAAATCCTGGGAAAAATCCTGGGAAAATCCTGGGAAAATCCTGGGAAATCCAGGGGTAAAGGCAAAGCCTCCCTGCCCGGAGCCCCGCACACACAGGTGGGAAAAACTGGGAAAAAACTGGGAAAAATCCCGGGAAATCCTGGGAAAAATCCTGGGGAACCCGGGAAAAATCCTGGGAAAATCCTGGGAAAATCCTGGGGAATCCAGGGGTAAAGGCAGAGCCTCCCTGCCCGGAGCCCCGCACACACAGGTGGGAAAAACTGGGAAAAATGCCAATAAATCCTGGGAAAAATCCTGGGGAAATCCTGGGAAAAAATCCCCGGGAATCCTGGGAAAAATCCTGGGAAAATCCTGGGAAAAATCCCCGGGAAATCCTGGGGTAAAGGCAGAGCCTCCCTGCCCAGAGCCCCGCACACACAGGTGGGAAAAACTGGGAAAAAACTGGGAAAAACTGGGAAAAATCCCGGGAAATCCTGGGAAAAATCCTGGGAAATCCTGGGAAAAATCCTGGGAAAATCCTGGGAAATCCAGGGGTAAAGGCAAAGCCTCCCTGCGGAGCCCCGCACACACAGGTGGGAAAAACTGTGAAAAACTGGGAAAAACTGGGAAAAAACTGGGAAAATCCTGGGGAATCCTGGGAAATCCTGGGAAAAATCCCGGGAAATCCTGGGAAAAATCCTTGGAAAATCCTGGGAAAAATCCTGGGAAAATCCTGGGAAAATCCTGGGAAATCCAGGGGTAAAGGCAGAGCCTCCCTGCCCGGAGCCCCGCACACACAGGTGGGAAAAACTGGGAAAAAAACTGGGAAAAACTGGGAAAAAACTGGGAAAAATCCTGGGGAATCCTGGGAAAAATCCTGGGAAAAATCCTGGGGAATCCTGGGAAAAATCCTGGGAAAATCCTGGGAAATCCTGGGGTAAAGGCAGAGCCTCCCTGCGGAGCCCAGCACACACAGGTGGGTACGGGGAGAAAAACGGGAAAACCCGGGAAATCCCAGGGAAATCCTGGGAAAAATCCATTCCCAAGCAGGATTTTCGGGATCAGGACCATTCCAGGGCCGGATTTTTGGGATCAGGACCCTTTTTAGGGCAGGATTCTCGGGATCAGAACCATTCCAGGGCAGGATTTTCGGGATCAGGACCATTCCAGGACAGGATTTTTGGGATCAGGGCAGGATTTTCGGGATCAGGACCCATTTTAGGGCAGGATTCTCAGGATCAGAACCATTCCAGGGCCGGATTTTTGGGATCAGGACCATGCCAGGGCAGGATTTTCAGGATCAGAACCATTCCAGGGCAGGATTTTTGGGATCAGGACCCATTTTAGGACAGGATTTTCGGGATCAGGACCATGCCAGGGCAGGATTTTTGGGATCAGGGCAGGATTTTTGGGATCAGAACCATTCCAGGGCAGGATTTTCAGGATCAGAACCATTCCAGGGCAGGATTTTCGGGATCAGAACCATTCCAGGGCAGGATTTTCGGGATCAGAACCATTCCAGGGCAGGATTTTCGGGATCAGGACCATTCCAGGACAGGATTTTCAGGATCAGGGCAGGATTTTTGGGATCAGAACCATTCCAGGGCAGGATTTTCAGGATCAGAACCATTCCAGGGCAGGATTTTCGGGATCAGGACCCATTTTAGGGCAGGATTTTCAGGATCAGGGCAGGATTTTCGGGATCAGGACCATTCCTGTGCAGGATTTTCGGGATCAGGACCATTCCAGGGCAGGATTTTCAGGATCAGAACCATTCCAGGGCAGGATTTTTGGGATCAGGACCCATTTTAGGGCAGGATTTTCAGGATCAGGGCAGGATTTTCAGGATCAGAACCATTCCTGTGCAGGATTTTCGGGATCAGGACCATTCCAGAGCAGGATTTTTAGGATCAGGGCAGGATTTTTGGGATCAGAACCATTCCTGTGCAGGATTTTCGGGATCAGAACCATTCCAGGGCCGGATTTTCGGGATCAGAACCATTCCCAACAGCTGTTCCCGAGCACAGAGCCCGGAATTCCATCCCGGGATTTTCCTCCCCGCCATTCCCGGCTGGAATTCCGGGCGCTGGGGCCATTTCAGAGCAGGATTTCCGGGCTCGGGAACCATTCCCGAGCAGGATTCCCCCGGCTCAGGGGCCATTTCACAGCCGCATTTTCGCCCCCGGGCCCATTCCCCAGCAGGAAATTTTAGGATCGGGAAGCATTCCCGAGCAGGATTTTTGGGATCGGGGATCGTTTCCAAGCGGGATTTTTAGGATCGGGGATCATTTCCAAGCGGGATTTTTGGCTCCGGGCCCGTTCCCGAGGATTCCCCCGCCTCAGGGCTCATTCCCGAGCAGGATTTTTGGGATCAGAACCCATTCCCGAGCAGGATTTTTGGGATCAGAACCATTCCTTAGCGGGATTTTTGGGATCAGAACCCATTCCTGAGCAGGATTTTTGGGATCAGGACCATTCCCAAGCAGGATTTTTGGGATCGGGACTATTCCCAAGCAGGATTTTTGGGATCGGGACCATTCCCAAGCAGGATTTTTGGGATCAGGACCATTTCCAAGCAGGATTTTCCAGCTCCGGGTCCATTCCTGGGCAGGATTTTTGAGATCAGAACCCCTTCCCTAGCAGGATTTTTGGGATCAGAACCCCTTCCCAAGCAGGATTTTTGGGATCAGAACCCCTTCCCAAGCAGGATTCCCCATCTCCGGGCCCATTCCCGGTTGGAATCCCCATTCCCAGCCGCTTTTCCCGGGGCTATGTCGGGACGCTCCCAGGCCTGAAGCCGCCTCCTCTCCCCCCTCACCGCGGCAGGAGCGGGCCCCGCTGGAAGCCGGAGGGATCCGGGAGCGGCTGCCGGCGCCGCGGGGACACTCACGGGGTAAGCTCGGCCTCCGGCAGCCGCTCCCAGGGGCCCTCCCAGCCCGCAGATCCCGTCCCGCCCCTGCTCATCCCGGGATTTTTTTTTTTTTTTTTTTTTTTTTTCCTTTGTTTGCGTTCTTCAGGAGAGGAAATCCGGGAGCTGGACATGGTGCCCGAGGCGTTGCTGCATCCCGAGCGTCCCACCTTTATCGAGCGCCTGGCGGGGAGCTTCACTAAGAGGAAACGATCCACGCCGCAGAAATTTGTGGGTGAGGAAATGATGGAAAAGGTGGAAAAAAGGGGAAAAAATTCCTCCCGGTGGGAGGTGAGGGGCGGCCTCAGGGATGGCGGCGTGAGGGGGGAGCGGCGCGGGAAAGGGAATCCCCTCACAAAGGCCTCAAATTAACAAAAAATATAATCCTCAAATTAGAAAATATTAACTAAAAATGAAAGAAAAACAAATCTTTTTTAAAGAAAAAGGCCCAAAATTTTAATTAAAATATTTCTCCTCACGTTTTAAAAAAACCTTTTCAATTAAAAAATACCCGAAAATTAACCAAAAAAATCATCAACTCAACAAAAATGGAAGGGAAACGCTTCACGCCGCAGAAATTTGTGGGTGAGGAAATGATGGAAAAGGTGGAAAAAAGGGGAAAAAATTCCTCCCGGTGGGAGACGTGAGGGAAAGGGAATCCCCTCACAAAGGCCTCGAAATGAGCCTCAAATTAACAAAAAAAACCCGCTCAAATCGGAAAATATTAATTAAAATTAAAAGAAAAACAACCATTTTAAAGAAAAAGCCCCAAAATTTTAATTAAAGGAATTTCTCCTCACGTTCTAAAAACCTTTTAAATTGAAAAATACTTTCAGATTAACAACAACAAAAAAAAAATCGTCATAAAAAAATTAACAAAAATTCTAAGCAAACGTTCCATGCCGCAGAAATTTGTGGGTAAGGAAAGGATGGAAAAGACGGAAAAAATGGGAAAAATTTTCCTCAGGGATGGCGTTGTGAGGGGGGAGCGGGGCGGGAAATGGAATCCCCACACAAAGGCCTCAAAATGGGCCTCAAATTAACCAAAAAAGAGCTGAAATTGAGAAAAAAATAAATTGAAGTTAAAAGAAAAGCTCTTTAAAGCTACTTAAAGTCTTTAATTAAAAAAATTTCCCCTTATATTTTAAAAGAAAACCACCTTTAAATTAAAATTAGCTGGGAAAATTCCCCTCTGGGAGATGCGGGGTGGGAAAGGGAATCTCCACAAACAAAGGCCTAAAAATTGGCCTCAAATTAACAAAAAAGTTCCTTAAATTAAAAAAAACAAAACCTCAAATCAACAAAAAGGCCTTCAAATTAAATATTTCCTCTCATGTTTAAAAAAAAGTCTCAAATTAACAAAAAAAACAAACCTTCAAATTAGCAAAAAATCCCCCTCAAATTAACAAACTTAAATAATGGCTTAAATAAACAAAAAACCTTCTAAAATTAACGAAAGTCTTAAATTGAAGAAATCTTCCCTCAAATTAAAGAATCCTGCCCTCAACTTTTAAAAAAAAAACTTAAAAAAACCTCAAATGAAAAATGTTACTCAAATTTAAAAATTCTGTTTTCAAATTAACAAAAAAGCTCTTCAGTTAACAAAAAAATACCTCAAATTAAGAAAACTCTTAAGTAAAATAATAATAAATAAAATAAATAAACTATATTAAATAAATAAAATAAACTTAAAAAATAAAAATACTCTGAAACAAATTTAATTGATTAATAAAAATAATTAAGTAGATTTAAATTCTCCCCTCAGATACAGAAAAACCCCTTAAATTACAGAATAAAGTTCAAGTTAACAAATAACCACCAAACCCTGAAATTAAAGAAATCTCCCTTCAAATTAAAATAAAAATAAAAAAAAAATATTAATTAGAAGAAAATGAATTTAAATTAATTAAAAGAAAATGCTCAAATTAAAAAAATTCCTCCTCAAATATTGGATATTCTTGGGATTTTTGGGGCCTTCCCTTCATCCCTCTCCTCTTCCCCTGTTATTTATGAACCTTTTGGGGTTTGTTTTGGTGATTTTGGGGTTTTTTACCCCCCCAGCTCCTGCTCCTTGCCCCATTCCTGGGAAAAATGAACCCAAAATTTGGGGTTGGAGCCAAACCTTTGTGGGGAGCTGCTGAATCCTGGATTTTATCCGAGGAATTCCTGGGATGGGATGTGGGGATCCCCCCCACTCCGTGGGGTTTGGGGTCTCCTGCTGCTCCTCATCCTGACCCTAAAGCCAAACCTGCCCCATTCCAACCCCTCTGGTTTTGGGGTCCCCAAATTTCCCCCATCCTGACCCCTCTGTGGTTTTGGGGTCCCCAAATTCCCCCATTCCTGCCCCTCTCTGTGGTTTTGGGGTCCCCAAATTCCCCCATTCCTGCCCCCCTCTGTGGTTTTGGGGTCCCCAAATTCCCCCATTCCAACCTTTCTGTGGTTTTGGGGTCCCCAAACCTGCCCCATCCCGACCCCTCTGTGGTTTTGGGGTCCCCAAATTCCCCCATCCTGACCCCTCTGTGGTTTTGGGGTCCCCAAATTCCCCCATCCCAACCCCTCTGTGATTTTGGGGTCCCCAAATTTCTCCCATCCCGACCCCTCTGTGGTTTTGGGGTCCCCAGATCGGAAGNAATAACGGGATAACGGGAATATCGGGAATATCGGGAATGTCGGGATAACGGGAATATCGGGAATGTTGGGATAATGGGATAACGGGAATGGGATAACGGGAATGGGATAATGGGATAACGGCAGTGCCGGCGCCGCGACGCGCTCAGCGGCCACCTGCGGACACACTCGGGTACGGGAAAAATGGGAATGTCGGGATAATGGGAATGTTGGGATAACGGGAATATCAGGATAACGGGAATATCGGGATAATGGGAATGGGATAACAGGAATGGGATAATGGGATAACGGGAATGGGATAATGGGATAACGGCAGTGCCGGCGCCGTGACGCGCTCAGCGGCCACCTGCGGACACACTCGGGTACGGGAATAACGGGATAACGGGAATATCGGGAATATCGGGAATGTCGGGATAACGGGAATATCGGGAATATCGGGATAATGGGATAACGGGAATGGGATAACGGGAATGGGATAATGGGATAACGGCAGTGCCGGCGCCGCGACGCGCTCAGCGGCCACCTCCGGACACACTCGGGTACGGGAACGTCGGGATAACGGGATAATGGGAATGTCGGGATAATGGGAATGTCGGGATAATGGGAATGTCGGGATAATGGGATAATGGGAATGGGATAATGGGATAACGGGAATGGGATAATGGGATAACGGGA